ACGCACCGGGGCAACCGGCTCTTAAGGGCTCCAGCTATTCACACGCAACGGTAAAATGAAGAGCTTCATAGGAAACAGCGAACTGAATCAAATGAACTGTGAGGTGAGGAGCTGCAAAGGGCCGCAGAGGACTGCAACAACAACTTTTGGTTGTAGGAAAAGGTCCCAGTGCCATTTGCCAGGAAGGTGGGGTGCCTCTCAATGAGCACGAGATCCTCACACTTTCTCGTGGCTTCGGCTCCTTGTTGGAAAGCGTTCGATTGCGCTATGCTGAACTTTTGCATGTGCATGCTGTGCCGAGGTCGGCATGTATTACGGGTAAGTGATGCAGCAGTGGACGCGAGTAAGCTACTGGAAGCTTTGGGGTAAGTGCTTGTGACTCCGAATGGGTCAATGAAGCTTTGGGGGGCAATGGCTGGCCCCCCATTGCCCTCATTCTGCAGTTCATGCTGCAAAACTGTCTCACCGTCAAGACTTGGTGAAACGTCAACGACTGACGTTAATTGTGCAATGCCACCAGCTCTCGGATTGATATTCTGCTTTGTGCACTCCTGTTTGGCCCCTTGAGGCACATGAGAATGATAATGTGTGCTTATATAGTGAAATCTATATAATGCGTTTATCATTTTGGTGGCCGCACCTTCCCCAGCTTGGTGCAAGATGCACTAGCCACTGACGGACGCAGAAGGAAGTAGATAGAATGCTCACGCCTTTGTTCCTATACATAGATGCACAAACACAAAGAGCTGTACACATAATTTTTTCATAGTTAGTTTTTCCATATGCATCAGCATGCTGCACTGACTCACTGACCAGCAGCTGCGCAAATTATTCTTCAAGAGCTGCACACACCTTCTGTACGGGGAAAGGCGTAACATGCCTCATGCAATCAGACAAGCTGATTGGATCTGGCGTTCGAAAAGGCAATGTCAGAATTCTTAAAGCACCTGCTATCGCGGCAACCTTCATTCACTTGTTCACAGACCATCGTTTGGTTCTTCTTGCGGCTGTCCAAGTTCGAAAAGAGAGAGAGAGAGAGAGGGGGAGAGTAAACCACTTGACATATATAATATACATATTATATAGCTGAACTCAAAAGCACAGTGTAAAGCTGGACACAACCAAACAAGATCTTGGCCATCACTTGATACAAGAAAGCTGGCGTGATTACTGCCTGAGATCTTACTACATAAGGATTTTGCAACCATCTCCATGTTCCCATGGCTGAGCCTGACTTGGATGCCCTCTTTGGTGAAGACAATGCCGAGGAATGCTCCGCGCCTAAGGCCTCCTACTCCCAGAAGACAAGGGTTAGTAATGTAGGCATACACAGCTTTCCGCATAGTAAATGCATTGTATGCCAGCATCCTGAGCTTTGTAGGTACACCCTGCCTTGTTAGCAGCAGTGAAGTCCTTGGCTGCAGAAGCCTGGCCAGTGGCACGGTCAGAGCTGCTGGGAGAATCTGACGCTGCAGCTGTCAAGGTGGGCATTAAGGTGATTCACTAGTGTCAACAGTGCGAAGGTGGCTTGTTACGACCTGCTAATTGATGTTTGCTGACATTGTTTTTTTTGTTGCCTTCCTCTTCAGCCCTTGAGGTGCGGCTTCCCCTTGCGCCCGCGCTGGCGCGGGACGTGGATCTAGCACTGGAAGCCATGAATGCCCAAGATTGGTCGGACTGCGCCTCCAAGGTCTGGGGGACTGACACTTCTAGTTTCAGTCAAACCTCTTGAAGTGTGTTTCTTTTGGAGCTACGAAGTGTCAGTTTGGAGTGGGTGCCGTTGAGCGTTTTGTTGTGAGGGTGTTCTGAAGCTCCTTGACGCACAGCACTGAACATGTGCCCAGGCTGCAGCGATCAGGAAGGAAGCGTGGAACGCTCTGATGCGTGACAAAGGGTGGCAGAGACACTTGGACAGCCCCGGCTAAACTGTGGGCAGACGCTTTAAAACTGAAAGAAGACAGAACTTGTATATATATATATATGTATGTGTATATATATATATGTACATAAATAAGGAGAGGCAAAACATAGAAGGTGTTGGGGCCTCTTCAATAGGGCCCCCGAGGCCCAAACGCAGTTTTTCACCCAATTCAGGACCATGCGACAAAGAACTCTTCATGCTGGTGGAGCTGATACTTGCACTATGTGCACATGCATCTGGCTCTCCTGCCACAGCAGTGCAGCATGCTGATGGTGCCTTCGTTTTTGCTGCAGCCGGTGCATTTCGGTCTTGCGCTCTTCTTTTCATCAGGCTACTGGACGATGATGCACGGAGGGCTTACCAGGCAAAAGCTCTCTGGCTGACCAGATCAATTTTGGTTGCACATATTGTTGGCTGGTTATAGTAGGAGGGCGTGCCTACCATGACCTTGCACAGGGCGTCCGTGTCATCATTTCATGAACGGGGCCAGGTTCGACACCAAGTTTGCCTACACTATCAGTTGACTCTGAGAAGCTGTAAGTTTTTTTTAGAAATATATATATAGATATTTTTCATGTTGTTGTCGTCGTCGTCGCCGTCGCCGTCGTCGTTCACCATCAATCGACCATCAATCGAGGAGAACGCTGTGTGCGGATCCTTTCCTGACACTCCTCCTTTGGATGCTTCACTCAGCAGAAGTGATTCCAAAAAACGGCTTGAAAGACGTCCGTCGCCAAGTCCCTGCGAATTGGTAGAGCTGCTGAAGCTCAGGACCTTCAAATCAAAGCCAAATATAGTAGCGCTTTTCTGTTGTTGTCTCTTGCATAGTTTTGGCAGGTGGATAGATGGTTTGAATCTGAGACTCACCCACCAAGTCCAATTGCATCCGTTTCAGGCGGCCCTTTCTTTTCTCCCACCCAGACTGGCCAGCGGCGGCGCGGTGGAAAAGCCTGGCCTATTTGGATGGCAATGTGGGACATCGTTTGATTCCAGCTGAGCTGGGTGCTGAAGTGGGAGCGGCTTCATGGCGGGAGGAGCTCATCCCTTTCCATCGCTTCCTCAAGGAGGGTGCAATTTGGCAGTGGCGCGTGCATCATGTGGAGGGTGTGGGAAAAAGAAGAGTGTTGCAACCATTGGCCATCCCAAATAATATACCGGCATGACTTCTCGTCAAGCCGAGTGTTGACGCAAGAACTCTTACGCAGGATGTCGGTGGTACTATGCCTCTTTCATCCGCTTTGTGTCTGGTTCTTCCACATCTTCCAATCTTCCAATTGCTGTATTTGTCCATAGTGGCCGCAATATTCAACATTTCAATATTTGTTTTGAAGGAGTATTTGGCGCCCAGCTGCTTTGAGCAGACCTCCTCGACTGCTTACTTGGCACAGCATGAACTTTTTGAGCAATGCCCTGTTCTGCGAGCTGACATCCCTGTGCCAAGCTCTTGGCAGGAGGCCGATGCATGTATAGAATTGGTACAGAAGCGTCGGTCTAAAACCCTGAGGAGTCAAAAACTGAAAGTGCTGTGCAGGTGCTTGGGCCACCAACCCGCTGCAATGCATGGATTGGAACGCACTCCACTCTGACACCCTGTCACTGGGATTCTTACGACCTTTGGCGAGAAATTTTGCCTTTCTCAGTTTCGCCGCCAAAGATCGTAACGCGCAGAGTTTCAACCACTTAAAGCACAAGTTATACAGTATATATATATGCTATATGTAATTCTTTTTCCATAGGTCTCACCACCTGTTCTGTCTCCAATTGAGTATGCTTTTAGTTGTTTCAATTTTGACTTCCCTGACAAAGAGAATCATGCTTTAATTGCTTTGATACTCTCTTGCTCACTGATGCATTAGTTTGTGCCCAAATGGCACATATTGAAGAAGCAGCTGGGCTGAGAAATGATTGTTTCCATCGCCCACTACAATCTGTTGCAAGGCTGTCTACAATACATTCCTCCCAAGAGAGTAAGCACACCAATTATTCAATTGAAGAAGCAGTCGAGAAACACAATCAAGAGCTATGGCTATGCATTGCTTTCTTTTAGCCCTATGTCGAGATGCATTCCTCAATAAAGAAACACATTATATAATTTACAGCTGGTACAAACAAAGGATGGAGGTATACAATCACGCATCTTTTTCTCCATTATTGCGTTGAGCACAAGGCAGACACAATTAAAATTGGAGTTATATAATTCATCCAGAGGATACAGTTCACACAGCAATTACAACATGAGTTGATTTTTGCTAAGGTGTGGGGCGCTCACCCCCCACCTGATAACAATCCTATCCAAAGTAAATTCTTTCAAACTCGGACTTTCACTGCCTACCTGACCTGAATGCCTCATTGTGTGAGTGGTGCTTGCTGAGGACAATTTTCTGGCGCAAGTGCAGGGCTTCAAACGTGTCGCACCTTCACCGGAACGGTTGTTTGACAATGTTTCTATTCTATTTATTGTTTCTACTAGCTTTTGTTATTACTAGTAAGGCCCTTGCTCCTAGTCGCGATGCACTTGTTCCTAGTAGCTTATGGTACTTGATTGAGCAGAACTTCTAAGTTGACCCTGTGAGGCATTGCTCGCTCCGGAGCAAGCATCAAGACTTTACGTAAAGGCGGCCACGGGTACTTCGGCCCAGGGCAACATCTCACCAGTCAACGTGGAGGAAGGGCCTGCAGGGCTCGAGGGCTTTGCGGTTGGAATTTGCTCCTGTGAATCTCAGTGCAAGGACCCTGATTTGGCAAAGTATCCCGAGTTTGCGCAAGCAGAGCCTTGGCAAAAGTGCTGCTCGAAGAGCACAGTGTAGCATTCCACACCACTGAATGCTTGCTAAACGAATCAGGAAGTGCACCTTGTGGACCTGAGTCCTGGTGATGACCTGCGCTCAGATTCTTCATTCTCCGGTTGCCAGAGTAACCAGGTAGTAGCTGCATGGCGCAAAGGTGCTCTTTATGCCAAGTGGCTGGTGGCATCAAGTCCGTGCATTGTCGCCTTCGATTTCGGTCACTTGACTCACTTGACCTTCGAATGGCTGTGCAGAGAGGGAGAACTGCAGTGTTAGCACGAATTGCAGGTCAATTTCTGGTACTGAAAGGCTAGAATTATGCCAGGCGTGTCTGGCACTGCCCATGCACCCGCCTTGTTGAAAAAGATTGCAATGCAATGCTCGGATTGAGTTGGCAACATGATCAACATGGTCAATGATGTGGATATGTGCACTACAAATCTGTCAAGATCGACCTTGCACATCTCGGCCCCACAGCCGGTCCAGCGATTTGCTTCTGACCGGGGCGCGGCAGACTTGGCCAGGCGGAAGATGCTTTTGAGAATTAACTTTGTTGATGAGTTGCTGTTTTTAGTATAATAAAAGAAAATACATACTGTATACAGCTTATCAATCCGACTCATGTGGCTTTCCTTGGCTTTCGCTTTCCTGCGTGAGCTGTGAGGATCTTGGTGGCCATGTCTTCGATTGCAAGAGGCACGTCCAGAAGCAGGGAACCTCCAAGCTTTTTGACAACATTTGATTTTCACGTGGCTGGCTTTTGTGGCAGCCCCTTTCCAATGCCCAGGGGTACTGGCCAGCTTTTGCTTGGTGGTAACTGCGGCGGATAACGATGAGAGGAAGCACATCTCTCAGTTCTGGCTGCCCATGTCGCATGCTCTGTAGATACACTGTATAGTATATACCCTTCCACTTTGATGGCTGGGACACCGAGCGTGTTGTTTGCGTGAGGCTGCAAGCATATGGTGGATGCCCCATGTGGGACAACACTTCCTTTTCAGATGAACCTTCTCCCTTTGGCTGGCCTTTGTCACCGAATGACTGGAGTGTCTCGGCGGAGGAGTTGTCCCGACTTGGGCCTGACATCAACATGGAACTAAGCAGTATGAGGACTTCTCTGGACTCTTGTACTTTGGCTCAGGTTTTGCGGAAGAGGGTGAGTGGCCGCACCATTATTTGGTGCCCAGCTTGGACATGATCCACCCCATGCAGCCTTCGGACTCTCTCTCTCTCTACCTATATGTATATCTATAATGTATATGTACAAACACATTATATATATATTATATGCATACATACCTATGTATATAGAATACACATCATATAGACCTATATGTCGGTCCCACGCTAGTTGTGATGATTTTGGCTGAGGCGTGTGGTGGTGTGCGCCAGTCCCCTGTGAACATCCCACTCCACGGTGATACCTGTGGCATTAACAGGACAGGGACAGCACCATGACATTCATATCATGGTCTATCATTTGAATATTTGAGTTCTATGGAGGTCTTGCAGTAAGAGTTCGGCTTAACAGTAGTTCCCGAAATACCTAGAAAGGATACTTGGACTTGGAGACTTTGGTGATCGGTCCTTTCAGGATTGGGGAGCCGGATGGTGCTTTGAAGGACGCGACTAGATACAAGGTGCACAAACTTGCAAAGACACACAGAATGCCGGTTTTGTTTCAATCCTTAATTTTCATTTGTCTCCTTGATTTCAGGTTGTATCCTATGCCAAGGTGGAAGCAAGCAGCTGGGCTGCAAGGGACGATGGCTTTCCTTCCTCTGCTGTCAGTGCAACCAGGAAAGGGTTTTGCAAGAAGCTTAGGTCACTACATGCGGACTGTGAAAGTCATGGATGATTTCGGAACCTTGACCCTGAAAGATGAGTCAGGCAGCCCTTGCAGTGCACTTATCGGGTTCTGTTCCTTCTGCGTCAGTGTAGGCAATGACGTCGTATACGAAGCAATCTCAGCGCAACTCACTGCGCCGAGCATGCACACAGTCGACGGAAAGCATTATGACACTTGGCCTGCAGTGGCAAAGCTTATCCAGGTCGCAGTTACAACGATAATGGGGAGGGATGAGTCACAAATGAGAGAGAGAGAGAGACACGGACAGAAAGACGGGGACTTTTTTGAAGTTCTTCAAGCACAGTTGTCGAGTCATGCCTCTCCTCTAATCTTGACCATGTCTACCAAAATGAGGCTGCCGAGCTTCTTGTTCTGCACAAGCCCATGGGTGCGCGCGACATGCTTCAGGTGGCTTGGACGTTAGCCACCGGAGCAGCACCTACCTCACTAGAGAGCATAGCGAGTCCCGGAAATAGTCAGCTGTTTGGAGTCATGACGAGTGTGGTGCAACTCACGCACGCCTTTCATCACGCCCTTGGTTGGGTTTGCAGTGTGGTGCACGCCCCGATCACAGTCTTCAATGAAATTCCCAAGGAAGGCGTGATTTTGAGCGTTATGTTTGATGACACGAATGGAACCGAGAGCCCGCTCTTCACGCACTTTGGAGCCCCTGCCGCAGTTTAGCTCACAAACGGTATAAATTCATGACAAAAGTTGTTGGCCCCTCTGCGATAACATATTGTTGATTTAATTTCGAGTTCTAAATCTTTATACAGATGCTTCCGTTTTTTCTGGGATGGATGCTTTTGCTTCGGAATGCATCCCTTTTGGCATCAGGCTTTGCTCCAGACAGCCAGGGACACTCTCCAAGCAAGACCTGGGCTGCCCCTCACTACATTGACGTGGCTCAGGCGAAACTTGCAAAGTAGCGATGACCTTTGCTCCTAGTAGCGTCCTTGCTCCTAGTAGCAAGGCCAGGAGCCCCTACTAGCGTTCTTGTTTCTAGTAGCGGCTTAGTAGCGATGCCAGGAGCCC